AGCAATAGGGATGATCTAGTACGAAGGAAGCTACAGGAATTCGATGGGAAGGCACCGTGGGAAACATATAGAGCACAATTTGAGCTACTGGCAAAGATGAATGGATGGGCAGAGGACCAGAAGGCAGTGTATCTGGCAACGAGCTTGAAGGAACAACCACTGGAAACACTTGGACAGCTGTCAGCAGACGACGGGCATAACTATAGAGCACTTGTAGCTGCTCTAGAGCTCAGGAATAAAACTCAAAATCAGTCTAACTCCACAGGGTCAGGTTTAGGACTAGAGTCCGTGCTAAAGGGGAGAGCCTGCTAGAGCTGGTACAGGACTTAGAAAGTATGGCACACAAGGCTTACCAAACTACACCACCCGATGTCTTTAAGCTGTTGCTGAGGGATCAGTTTTTAGACGCCTTGGACAGTCCAAAAATGAAGATACGAGTAAAGCAAGCACACACCCCTCTACTATGCAGGATGCAATGGCCTGAGCTCCTGCATTTGAATCCTACGTTAAGTCCAGCACAGAGGTACCAAGGTTGGTACAGTCATCTGGATTCAAAGCCAGAAAAGAAGTTTGAGTTACTTTGCTGGCACTGTAACAAACCAGGGCACAAGAGAGTTCAATGCTGGCAACATCAACACAGGGAAGATGTCACGGCAGGAAAAGCTGCTACCCAGAAAGGTTGTTGGAACTGTGAAGAGCAAGGACATATGAGGAGCCAGTGTAAGAAGAATACGACCAATAAGTCAGCCTCGGGGAAACCAGTAGTGGTTGGTGTTGAGAGATGCCCACCAACCCCCATCGTGAAAGTCCCAACAGCTAGGTGTAAAATGCCAAGCACACATAGTGTCTACGTGACGGGAAAGCTGGATGGCCAAAGGTGCAAATTTGTCATAGATTCTGCGTCTCAGCAAACCCTTGTGAGTATCAAGATGCTAGATCACAAAGGAGTACCAGAAGCCATACAGAAGCTTTGTGGTGTGACAGGACATTATGAAAGGTTGTGGGGACCAGTGTGGGTAACTATTGAGCTCATGGACATAAATGATAGACACAAAGTACACTTGGCTGACATTGAAGACCAATGCATATTAGGGTTGGACTACTTACTACCAAGGAAGTGTGTAGTTAACTTCGATAAAATTACGTTTGGGAACAACAAACGACAAATTTCATTAAGGGTTAAAAAAAGAGGTTGAGCTAACCAGGTGTCATCAAGCTGAAGTCAAAGTGACTGAAGGAGTTGATGATGGTGAAGTGGAACCAAATATAGATATTAAAACAGAACAGGAGAAAGATCAAGATTTGAACTCGTTTTATTAAAGAAAGGACTTGTATCGCTAAAGTTTCTTCGGAAAGAATTTTTACGGAAAATTAACAAACGAACACAGAGGCTTAACAATATCTTAATTTTACATGAAACCCGCATTTAGAGTTAAGGCACCATTATTATCCCACCTTCCTCTGCGGGTTAAAACGTAGTACAGGAATCCCTCGATTAATGCAGTTAATGTGTTCTTTAAAAGAGCCGCACTAATCGAAAACGCATTAATCGAATATAATAACTTATAGGAAATCATGTAATTCGTACCTCAATTTTCATTCTTATTCACAATTAATTTCTATTTTGCGTATTTTTTAATCAAAGTATAGGTATATAAGAAAATACGAAAAACTTGCAATGAATTAAAATTTATTGATCTGATTTTTTTTTTATGAAAAACTTATTTAGAGTGGCTTGTCGCATCGTATTCTTCTGTTCTTCATATAATTGGCGGTACTGAGAAATTGCCTCATCAATTTTTCTGCAAATTTGACGGCTTCTATCCTCATCAGGGTCTGTTTCTAAACATTTTCCCTTAAATTCTTCAATAACCGTGAAAAGTTCTACTAATTCCTTCTTCGTCATCTTCTTATGCTGGCGGGTAGGTAAGATTTCGTCACATTCATCAATGTCTTCATATGCTCTCTGAGTGTCCAAATTTATAAGATCCTTATTGGTTAGTTCTTCTGAATGAGCTTCTAGCAATTCTTGCACATTTTCATCGTCAATTTCAGCGAAGCCAAGTTCTTTTTCAATATGATTAATCTCTTTAATGACCTCTTCTGTATCTTTTGAAAAGCCTGTGACGTCCTGTGCACAGTGTGACAAACACCTTGCACATTTTTAACTGAAATTTCATTCCATGCTTGATGGATATTATCAATA